ACTTCACACTTCATTAATGCCGAAGTTGTTGAGATATCCGAAATAGATACTCTTCAAATTTGCGACAAATAATGCTACTAAAATGGTTGGTCAAGTATAGACTTCAGTCTTCATATTATTAAGTAGAGCAATCTTGACTAACTTATGTGTAAATACATCAGCAAATAGACCGGATATTTCATGGCGATGTAATTGGTTGTATTGTAATTGAAAATCAAACATAGAATCTTAATCATTCCAGGAAAACAAAAGATAGGAATCAGTTGACAGTCTGATATAGAGAAGGAAATTAAACTCGTCTGTTAATAAAAAAGATAAAATATTTACAAAAATTTAGCTTTTCGTCGTACCAGCAGCTAGGATTTTTGAAAACCAACAATATATATAATATATATAGAAGAAACGGATGAATGTTTTCGTTGTAAGTAAAGTTGACAAAATACGGTCTTTCTTCGTCTTGAAAGTGTATGGCTTTTAAATTCAATTTCACAAGAAAGCAATCCTATGGAAACATTCAGGAAATTAAATCAATGTCCGGGCAAAATGAATACCCCCTTCTAAAAAAATTGTAGCCTATAGTTACATTTTTTGAACTCGCATTGGTAATTTTTCCTGCCTGTGTGATAAAAAATAGACAGGTTTAATATTATGAACATTGATATGCTACGCGGTGTGAATTTCATCTGTCAATTTCGTCATATAGTATTGTTTTGTTTGCACATGCAAAATGGACGTCCGTGTCGCAACGGGATAATAATTTAATATTAATATCCTGCAAAGTGGTTATTAATATTTAGAGCTTGCTCTGCCATTTATTATATACTAATGAATAACACATACATGCGATAATATCCTATTTTTGAGGTCGCGTTTTCGAAACGATTACTGAATTAAAATCAAACTTTAATCGTAAACTATCTGGTATATATGAAGGCGAGGATGTAGCTTCGTTGAGTTCGTTAATCATACAAAAGGTAATTGTAAATATATATGCATGTATATATGTCTTATATAGAATTGTGTATTTACACAAAGCCAATTCATACTCCTAATTTCAAAATTCTAAGCTGAAATTAATCTCTGATAGTTCTACAGTAAATAATTAAAGGAATAAAGGTATAAAATAAAGCGCTGTGTTTAGAAAAATAATCGAACTTTGCCTTCAGTATATATATAATTTTATTTAAATCATATGTGCGTATAGAACATAAATAGAAAAAATAAAAAGTCGAAATAGCAACATTAATCTATATGCTAATGGATGAATCGATACGTAACAAAAATAAACACTAAATTGACGCGAAATATTTCTATCGCAATCGATTTGTGGAAAATGTTTTCGTTTTTGACACCCTGTAAGCCAGGCGTTGAGCAGAACAATGTACAAACGAATTCAATTCTTATTTTGCCGAAATGACTTGATGAATACGATCGAAAAAGATAGGGAAAAGATTGGATTTACCGCTGCATCTATAATTAATTATGGAAAACAATCTATTAGCACAAATGAATTGAAAACGCGCGGAATGTTATTACCTAAAGCTGTTTAAACTAGACTCCCATGGGTGGCCGTTACGGTATATTCCAGACCTCAGCAAGCCAAGAAATAGGACGAAGCGGCTGCCGAAAGACCGTTGTTGCCGCCGTGCAAAACGAACTGAGAAGTTCTGAAAGGAAGCGTGAAGGTTACTTGCAAAGTTTCAACTGTATTTTGTTACTCTCCGAAGCGGAAGGAAAATCGCCATTGGTTGGATTTTAGTTGGCTTTGTTACATTCGCGTATGGTCGTTGTCGCAAACTAGCCTGAATCTAGATAAAATCTTGTTTAGAAACAAACGAGGCTCTTTGGACTTCATAAAGACTATCCAGACGTTAAAGATATCGAGATTTTACTACACAAGCAGAAGGGATTCTAACCGCATTGCGGAATATATAATTATACTCTATAAGGAAGTTTGTTTGATGTGCTCTTCAAGACAAACACATTTGTCCATAATAACAGAATAATTTCTAAAGACTTTGGAATATCGAAACGGTGTAAAGAAATACTGTATATTTTGGATAGTCATACTACTTCACAAGTCGAAACGAATCCCAGGTTTGTACATGCATCATTTAACAAAAACCGCCTAAATAGCAGATTTAAACAAAGCAATAAGCTTTAACTCTTTTTATATTCGTATTACAATAGCAGGTGACTATATAATAAGATATATATCTGAATTGATTAAAATGGCATACAGCCGCTACAGCCTTGCAATCATGCGGTTAAAGTTCAAGATTTAAACTGAAAATTGCTTAGCAACTCTATTTTCTTCTTCACTTCCCCCTCGCATAGATGTTTGCTGAAAAGTGATAAGTAATCACACTCTCGTGAGGTGCATGGGAAGCGGATATAAACGGCGCAGTTTCTAAAACACAGCCGGCTAATCAAATCCTTTTGTAAACAGGAAATACTCCGAATCGCGGACGATACATAGACGTGGAGGGGAAAATTTGTGTAAATGAATTGGAACTTAAAGCCGTCCGTTTTAGTTAGACTTCAGAAACATCTGCATGGGTGCAAAAATTAAAAAGGAATAAAAAACATATATTAGATTAATCATAAAGACTTCTGATAAAGAAAAGAGTACAAAAGAGGAGAGATGCTGAGCGAAGGTAAAACGACCGCACTTTAAGGCATTAAAAATATATAGCTGATAACAGCGCCACCTCGATTCCCATTAATTTCATTATCAGTCCAATATATAGTAAAAGCAATTAATATACGTGCAAGAAAACATGGACTAGAAGCCTCTTCAATATAACAGCATTAATTTGATCGAATTTTATCAACCGACCTGATAATTATGAAAATTTTAAGAGATTTGTTATCGCCGCTAATTTCAACGCAAATATGCAGACTTCCTTTATCATGACCAAAGCTTTATACTCGCTCCATAGATATATTTTGAGCAAATAAATAAACTCCTTGAGACTGTATATAATACTGTTCGTGAGTATTCTGAAGGATTTGGACTGTTTTTGATACGAATAAAGAAACATTAGGACAAAGATAAATATTTTAGAAATGCAAAACTTCTATTATTTTGGCCGTTGTTGGGTTGATTAAATCTTAGACTTACGCCTGTATTCTGAAAGCACTCACACTCAAACTCATTGAGTGGGAGATCTTAATCTTCTCATAGCGTTTCAATGGCGGTATTTCCAGCCGAACAGGGGCTTGATTTTCAGTGATTTACCTTATATCTTTCCATCTATTCAGAGAAAACTTTCTCATTGATCAGCATTAACAAAATTTATATGTCATACTCGATGAGTATGAGTGTGAGTGAGCTTTTTGAATACAGGCGTTGGTGTTCCTAAATCAAGGATCCTCTTCAATAATTGTTGGTTACAAAGCCGAAATTTGATTGCTTTTCAAGCGTTTTTAAAACGGTTGAAAAACGTTGATCACGATCTGGTGGCGGTGGATAGCACTATCCAGCTTTCGTTCAACTGGCCCCAGATCAAAAATCACTACAGTAAACATTAATCGACATGAAAGATTTCGCCACGTTTTTTATACGTGACTTCATGATGTAGACTAAATATCAACGATGATAAAACGCCGATTAATAAATCAAAGAAAAAAGCCATCTAGCTTTTGCAAAAATTCATCACACTGCCATTCGCCATAATTGTAAAAAAGATAAACTTTAATTCCGGTCAGTATTGAGAAATGATTAGAGCGCATGCGAAATATCAAACAATTTAAAGATGTTTACCAAGTGAAGTGCACATTTGAATTTGCAAAAAATCGCATCTTTTTCATGAAAGTTTATGTCGAGTTTGTAATATATAAACAAGTGCTTTGCTTCAGTTGTTTACATTCCGAACTGCCGTACTACATTCAATATATGTTTTATTGTTTAGACGCGAAAAGATATGCTCAATATGTTAAATTAGCTTTACTGAACTTCTGTTGTAAATTGGCGGTGTTTGAAACCGTTTTGACATAAAAACGAATGTAAGAGCGCTCGAAAACGTTACCGTGTGTGCACATACCTTAATTTTTATGCCTAGCTATTACTAAATATGAACTAGAGTTGGTGTGCGGCTGTAGATGAATAACCTTAAAAACATTTAGTTTACATCTATTAGTCACCAACAGATGATATGTACACTCAAAATCATCTGCCTAGATCATATAATAACGACATATTTTAGAGCATTTTTTGCACCCAAATTAAAAAGGCTAAAAAACAAGTAATTCGGGAGAATTTCCAATGTGTAACTAAACGTGGACCGCCTATAGAATAATATAATCACAAAAAACATATTCAATGCATTTTCTATATACATGTATGTATATAAATTATAATACATTTTCATCGTTACACTAGATGTTTTCATTTCATAGGAAACAGAATCCAATCAATTGTAGAAGATCGAAAAGTGTTTTACTACAGTCGACTGGAAACCATAAATAAATAATGCATATGGTTTCTTTTTCGTTCTGTTAAATGTTAGCCGAAGAATTATTACTTATTACGTATATTGAAAACATCCTCCTTTCAAAACGGAAGACAGGTGAATCCTGTAAACAAAATATCGTTTGGATGTTGAAAAACTGCATTAATTTGTCTCATTTAGCATTTTTGTTTGTATTTTGGATATAGGATTGTGAGATATATCGTCCTCGTCAGAGTAATTCCTCCTCAAAAGAGATAACGAAGCAGAAGTTTGGAAGAAACAAACGTCCGGATTTGGATAAGTAAAGCGTTCATTGTGTCGGCAATGTAAATTGAATGAAATGGAAATTAGTCTGTCAATAACAGGTCTTTCATTTTTTTCTTATGATAATGGTAGGGAATGACTTCCGTTTAATTAAATAGAGGAAGTTATAACAAAAAAGGAAGTGACTGTCGAGAAGTGCTTGGGTTTCTTCTTCCAAAACGTTGTGCTAAAACTGCACACTTTGAAAAGCAAGTTTTTTCGAAAACAAAACAATTTACGGCTATGTTGGATACTTTGTGCAATTCCAACATGACTTCGCAATCGCAGGCAGAGTCCTACGCTACTGCAATCCTTTCCGGCCTATTGGCTCTGGTTACAATTCCTGGAAACGTCCTGGTCTGCCTGGCAGTTCTAAAGACGTCGAACAGAAACATCCGAAATCCTTTTAACTATTTCGTGCTGAGTCTTGCCGTCGCCGACCTGGTAGTCGGTTGCCTGACCGAACCATTGTCGGTTTATGTCCACGTGAAAGAAGCCTCGGGTGGTCGTGTAGAGCACGTGGAATTGGAGTTCCTTCACATGTCCTATTTCATATCTTGTACCTCTTCCGTGTTAAGCATCTGTCTTCTCGGAATCGAGAGATATGTTGCAATTACTTCGCCGCTTAAGTTCAGGCTGTTCTTCAGTGTACGAAGATTTCTTCTTCTGGGGACTATACTTTGGTTGACATCGATAGGCCTGTCATCGATTTATCTCGTCACAAACTACACGACTTATGCTCTGATCTTCAGCACAAATGCGGTCGGCTGGACTCTGGGCGTGAGTATTTTTACGTACACCAAAATCTTGAGGACGTTCAACGAAAGGCTGAGAAACTCTGCAATACAGCGAAGAAAGAAAACAACGATGTCGAGTGAAACAAAATCGCAGTCGGCAAATGTCGGGTTGCAGCCGGTAAATCGTCATCATAGGTCGCCCTCAAAACAACCGCTATCCCCCGCGGTCGTTCCAAAACACAAATCCAGGTTAAGTCCCTCGCCTGCAACGCATGATGGTAACGAATCTAAGTCTAAAACGCACCACGACGCAAAGGGAATGATTCCAATGACTAAAAGTAAAAAAAACGATTCGCTCCCTAATCCGTGGAACGTGAAGTTAACGAAAACCTACCTGGTTATCATATCGATATTTCTCGCGTGTTATTTTCCCGCGTGTGTCGTGATATACACTATGAAATGGTGCAGCACGTGTAGCTGTGAGACCCTGCGTTATTTGCAAGATTTGCAGTTCATGATCATAGCCGTACAATCCGCGTTGAACCCGTTCGTGTACGCTTTCCGCTTCAAACGTTTCCGGAACGCCGTGATGCAAATGCTACACTGCCGCCCGCGAACGCGAGCTAATGTACGGTCAACGGTAAACTTCAAGAGTAACATGGCCCTAACCAAGAGCACGTTGTCACTGCAAGTCTCCGCGATAAAGAAGCACTCTTCCGAAGAATTATGAGACAAAAACGGTAATTGTAAATACTGCAACTAAATTTGTAAATAATGTCTGTAACTTTCAGGTAAAAGATATTGTAAATGATTTAATGTATTGCATTAAATGTCTGAATCTTTTCTGAATTTTACCTCAAATTATATTGTTATATACTCGTGATAATACATACGAGAATGTCATATTTTTTACCAGTTTTAAGCAGTTTGACTCGAAGTATCATTTGCCCTTTTTTTATGTGTTTTATTTGCAAATTAAAACCGAATAAAAACTTTCTTTTAATCACGTTGAAACTCGACATTTTCCAGCGCTAACTTAGCCGAATATAAGAACAAAATATCAGCATATTTTCACAGATATCTAAAATATAGGCGATAGATAAGGTTACATTATGTATTACAATATTTCTTTACGAAAGGAAACAAAAAATACACGCTAGAAAGATAATTAAAACCACAGCAAAATTCCGATGGAAATAAGGCTTAGTTTTAACCACCGGTGAACATCTCATGGTTTTCAACGGACATTTGTAGTCGTCTTCAACACTCAAAATATTTTTTCTTGCATCTTCCCAGGTATTTGGGCCTTGGAGCCGATATTGGGCTGGAACAGCGGGCCCAAACAAACAATGATAAGCAAGTTGAGGGTCTTTTGCAAAAATTGACCACAAGTCAGGCTTTGCTCCGATCATTTCAGTAATCTCGTCCATGTAGGCTATCATCGGAACCTGAAATGTTTCATCAAATGAAAGAGGGATTTTTATAGTTGTTCATTTAACAAGGAGGAATTGCGTTTTCGACCAATCAGCGCGTTTGTTTACAGAATGCAAAAATTTGAACTACACGCGCTGAAAAAGGTACATTATTTAGCTACCATTTTACATGAAGTATGAAAAACTTGCCTGGAAAATGTAAACAAATATGCCGATTAGTTGAAAATGAAATTCCATCTTTTTGTTCATTCAGCTATTCTTTTATAAAATTGGACCCACTTCAAACGAAGCCTTATTAATGTTACATTTTGCTATTATGTCGTGCGTGCATTTCAAGAGAAAAAAATCATAATATATGATAATATATTAATCTTATTAATCTTTGCCTCTGTAAATCACTGTAAATCCTAAATTCTATTAAAATACTGTCAGTTTTAAAACGAGATTGACAATAAAACTGAATAAAACGTTGAGACCATAAACGTTTAACATCTGCAATTCTTGTTATAAAACTGACCATATGTTAAATAAACCTTGAAACTTTGAAAAGTATTAATAGGCTTCATTCTATCCTTTTTCAAGCTTCGTGTGTTTTAATTGTGAGAAGATGCGAATTGAAACTCGAACTTCGCCATATTGTAAAACGAAGCCTTTCCATTACACTTACTCCATGTAAAAACTTCTCCTTCGATCTACCAATGTTTGAGAGCTGTTCTTCCCTCGCTAAGCATTCAGCCAGCATGTCTTTGTTGCTCGGCAAAACACATCTTCCGGCAAAAACCTCGGCAGCCACCCTGGCCTGCATTTCCCAGGTGGGTACATCCGAGCCGACGGTCTCAATCAGGCCTATAAATGCCAGAGTTTGGTGATGTGCTTCCGGGATAAATATATGCTTATACAACCTGGAATATAACAAGGACATCGACAGAAGATGAATAAATATACAACATAACAAGATGGAATTTTGTTTTCCGGCAAATAATTGGCATATTTGTTTACGTTTTTCAGGAAAGAAATTTTTCAGAATGCACACATTTGATACTTCATGTAAAATAGTATAAATAATGAATCTTTTTACAGTCGAAATTTATTCTGATTGGGTTACTGAAAATGTAAACAAACAATCTGATTGGTTTAAACGAAATTCCCTCTTTGTTATACAGCATAAATATGATTTACAGCTCAATAATTTATAACGAACCTTGAATAATGTTCATTCTCGACCGGGATAATATCAGGTGCAAATGGAAAATCTAATTTAAACCCAGTACAAAATATGATAGCATCAATATTCTCCAACACTTCTTCACCTGTCGAAAATTATCACGTTGGTATTAGCTACATGTAACAGTGTAGATCTAAATCTAAACATTTTCACGTTCTGAATGAAGGCTATATATCAGGAAGCCTGTCTACACCATCGAGGTTTACTACATGAGTTTACTAATTTTGTAGATAGGATGTGTAAATTGCATGCAGAATTTACCCATCGGAGATAATCTTTGTTGACAGCGTGCAACTTATAGAGGTAAAAAAAAACACACACACACCGCCAAATACTACAGACGTTTCTCGTAGATCCTTGAGTTCGCCTTTTACAATAACTCGACCAGTGATTATTTTAGTCGGTAGTTCATCGTTGACAAATCCAAACTGATTAACTCCAAGGACACCTGAAAAGCCAGAATCTGCGTTGTATTTCAATATCGTATCGTGTGCTCCTCTTTTCATAACGGCAAATCAATTTTAATGAAAAATTTTTAGTTTTGTGCATGATCGATTATTGTAAATTTCCCTAGTACTAATAAACGTATTCATAATTTTAAAAAAAATTTCAATGAAAACAAAACAAATTTAGATGAATACCGCTGGGCTGTAGTCCAAGACGCACAAAATCGTACTCCGTGTTGTGGACACCGCTAACATAGAATCGCTTCAAATTTTTGTTTACTAAACCCGCAGCCCTCGTGATTTGATGGTCGAACGGTTTTGTGGTACCAGGTACCAGGCGTTTTACGATGTAACCGCCGCTTCTTGTGCTGAGGTATACTTGAGATGCGTGCAGGCTCAGCTCAATTGAAATATCACCTGCAACCAGAACGTTAAAAGGCCTCTTAAAAGGTCAGTTCTTTTTCGTGAAACGTATACTTCACTATACTACCAATATAATATATAGATATGTTTATTGAACTCTGATGAATGTGGCCTAAGTTATATTCTAAAGATTAAAGGTTGTATTATGGCTACAAGAACTTTTATAAAACAACGATTTTGGAGTTCCACATATAGGTCGTGTGTTGACAGAAACAAACCGAGAGGAGAGAGGGAAGGGGGCTAAATAGAAGGGAGAATCATAAACTCAAGATGTCCGCCGTTCGATGTTCCACCCCTCCCTCGGTGCCTAAATCCCGGACATATCTTCCTGCATTATTGGTTTGCAAGTTAAGATTACATTCGTATATTCGTGATATTTATTACCACCCAAAGATCTTTCGGCATATTTCAAAATTAACTTGGTAATACCCCAACAGAATGCGCACATGATGCATGCTATTGTGGGGGACGTTTAGGTTCAGTGATTTAGCACACAGGGTCGTTTTCAGGCTGATATATTTGATATCTTTCCCGAATTTCCTTAAACGGTTCGCACCCCCCGGGTATTTGAAATATTGCCATAATGGCATGTTTCTCACAGCACCAACCTGCAGAAGAACCACAGCCAACGACAACAACTCTCTTTCCAACATAAGGTTTAAAGCTTCTGTAATCTCCACTGTGCACTTTAGCACCTTGAAATTTCTTCATTCCTGGAATATCAGGTATAGATGGAATGGAAAGATGCCCAGTGCATATCATTACAGCATCAAAAATCTCCTCGTCTATTTGGATCCCATTTTTCGGCGCCTCATTTTCGGCCTGCCTGAAATTTTGGAAAAATAACATGTATATAACGTTTGTTCTGATTGGTCGAAGCCATCCAAACACGGAAATTTAATTCGCGTATGGAAATCAAACTTGGAACACTACCTCCTTTTTTAATTTTATCATGTATAGTAAAATCACATATAACATGGATAATAAAATCATAGTCTTTAACTATCCATGATTTTATAAAGCGATTACTTATTGGTTTCCCGTGTTGTGATGGCCTGATCTAAACATGCACGAGTGCGCTTTTCTTAACTCTCGCAGCATTCCCGCGTGTTTGGATCAGGCCATCCAAACACGAAAACCATGCATGAAGTAATTAATTATTAATAACTATCGATTTGTGATACAGTAATGCATGCGTGTGATGAGTCACTGGAGAGAACAATTCGATTTTACAGCGGACAGTTTTGAATCAACAATCCGCGTTTTAAAAAGTTTCAGCAACTCCTGCCTAAATGGAAAACATGCAACGACCGCAGTTGATTGCAAAGACCCTAGTTCATTCCAATAGATAGTGGGAAACACATAAATTTTGACTACATACTGATCATCGCAGCCCCGACCAGACGACAAGTAAATTCTATATCAGTAATCGACGCTATACTTAGCTAATATAGAGGAGTTTTCCAGCATTTTTTCGACAAATTGAATAAATTTGAAAAGAAAATATCAAGAGCAATGGTTTTAAGGAATATTTTCTAAGAGGCTTTCAAAAGGAAGGCTAGAAAGACGTTTTGCAACTCTGGCGAAATGATTCTATGTGTACAATCGATCCACGCACGACCACCCATGCAACATTAAAAATATTGTAACTATACGCTATGTAAATTTCATGCGGTAATAGGTATATCCTCTGTATTATGTATGTATTATCAATAATTTTATCACAGCACTTTCAAAGCGTAGCCTCACAGACTGAAATTCACACATATTATTCATGCCAAAAATTCCAAGGGGCTGTTTACAGATTCCGGTTCAACGAGGCGCGAGATGATGTTGGGGGAGTGAAATCAGCAAATAACGTGAGATCGGGCAATCGTGTGATCACCCCGACAGTAACATATGCTAGTTTCGTCTTATAGATTTATCTTAATACTTCAAAGTCATCTCACGCTTCGTAGAATCCCGGTAGATTGTCCCTAAGTCTACAGCAATGGGGGGGTTCATTATGACAATGCAATAATTTAATCTCTCATGATCAGGAAATTTCTATAGTGGTTAATATCAAAAGTCTGACTTCGGACGAATTCACGAGAGGAATCGATTAAAAATTGTTGCTCTTAAAGCATCATAAAAATCGCATAAATGGAGTTATGGAGTTGCAGCCCGTAACAGCCGAAGGGCGGTCGATAATTTTAAGATGCAACATTGTAACACCACATGCGACATTTATTACACCACACAGACTTTCGCGTCTGGCCTATAGAAGTCTGTCATTGTTTATTAAAAGACAGCGTGAATTGGGTTTATATCTAAATATATTTTGCAATCTACAGTCCTTGCCTTGTAACTTCCTGATTATAGCAACTGTTATGTTTATAGATATTAGATACCTTGTATTCCTTGTATAAGATAAAGCCCAGTTGCCGGTCTCGTTGTAATCCGTGGCCTTCGATAGCTTTGTGACCTTCGTATTAAACCTGACGTACTCCTCTAAGCCAAAGTTCTCGGCGTACAATCGTAAGTACTTCATAAACAGACGATGGTGAAGGTAATTTGGCCATTCCTTGGGCACAGGAAAGTCAGAAAAGCACATTATTGCTTTGCTAATGTTGGTTACCGTGCCGGAATGCACGGAGCCCAAACCCGGTCGAGGTTCGTCGGTGTAGTTCCAAATGCCACCAAAGCTTGATTGCTGCTCAAAACATGTCGGTTGCAAACCAGCATCGAGGCAGCATTTAATGGCCGTCAGACCTCCGACACCACAGCCGATAATTGCGACTTTTTTGGCAACCATTTTGGTTAACTTTATTTGCCGGTAAAATATGAT